TGTCTCCCCCATCTCGAACTGTGAGCTTCTATGGCAGGGGCTGAATCTTGGTCATCTCTCCATCCTTGACTGTGCCCAGGAAATCTCAGTGAACAGCCTTGCAGAGGTTCAGTCTCTCCTCAAAGAGTAACACTGGTCTTGCTTTCTAGTAGGACAAGCCTGGAGGGTGAGTATTCCCTGAGGGACATTTTCCTCTTCTCCCAAACCTGGGCCTGCAAGCCCCAATTCCACCCTGATCTTGGCACCCATGGGTAACCTCATGCTCTTGACAAACACACAGTCTTATTCTGGCCAGAGCCTGCTCCCAGCCTCCCACCCCTCTTGCATTGCCTAGAGATGGACACACGAGAAAGGTACGGTCCAAGGTGCACCGTTTTCCTCACACCCCTGCAACCAGTTGAGGCAGAGCTGTAACCCACTGCAGCCTCAGTCCGGTCCCTTCTACCTGCTGGCTTTGTCTCCTCCATAAGCCTGAGAGGACCTCCCTCTCCAGCTAAATGACCCCTCTGTGTGGAGAGAGGCCAGTTGTCCTTTCTAGTCATAAAGACTGGGCTGTATGCTGAGATTGTCATTCCTTTTTTTTTAATGTTAGATTCCCTTTCTTGTATGAAATGACAGCAGGCAATTGTGCTGATTGAGAATGACTTTGACAAAATAAGGAGTTGGAAATCATGTTAATCTCCAGTGCTGAGCGCTTTCGCTAATGGGTGCACGAAATCCAAGCGCCTGGGTACCGCCCCTGGGAATGGGCACCAGCATTCTCCTCTTCCCTCCCAGCCCCCAACTCCCTCCCTGGGGACAATGACCTGCATTTCTGGGTCTGCCCCTTCTGCAAATGCTTCCTTCTGAATCATCCAAAAACACGCCTTTGTGAACTAGAGATCGAAGATCTCCTTGTCCCACCTAAACATGTTAAGTTTAAAATAAAATGGTGCAGGTTTCCAGGGTCCAGATGCTCACAGACACTTTGCAGTTTCGCTTCAAGTTCATTACATTTAATTTTTTTCCAAAAAAGTTTTGCATTGACAGCTGTACAATACTTTGGTGTTAACCTGTGGTCTTCCTTCCCCTCAGTGAACTCTGCCCTGTCCATCTGTCCAGAGGAAGTCTTAGCTCCTACCCCACACCCTCCCTGGCGCTTGGATGGGAGGTGACGCAGTGTGGGATTGTGAAACCCCCGCTGCGCTGTTGGGTATCTGGGGGGCGGGGGGAGCAGCGCGTGGGAATGCTGTGAGATAAGAAGAGCTCACATGGACGGGAAATGGCCCAGGCTCCAGAATGTGAGAGCGACACTGGCCTGGCTGTTTTCCTGCGGGGGGGACTGACAAACTGGGGGGAGAGGCAATTAAGACGCAACAATCAAACCAACCTTTAAATAGTAACTTTTAAAAATATAAAAACAGTTCAGTACAATGACTTTTCATTCTTTTTTTCTTCAGGAATAACTTTCTTCTACCCTCACCCTCCCTTCTGGCTAGAGCCTTAGCAAGAGGTGGCAGACGGACATCTGAGGCCCAGAGAGACTCCGGATGCCCCACGCGCCCAGCCTTGGAGAGGCACAGGGTGTGGCGCCAGCCTCCACATCCCATGCCCGGTGCGCTCAGCTGGGGAGCAACCTCACTGAAGGTGGGTGGCGTTCCCTGGAGCCCCTCCCTCCTCCTCAGCAGACGGAATCACGCATTACAAAATAATCCATAAAAATGCGGTATAAAAATTATCTTCGATATGCTACATCCATGGAGAGCCCGCCACCAGGACTCACAGCGGCCTTTAGCTTTTCTTTAAAAGAAGAATAAGAAAAAAAGACCAAAAGGAAAAGAAACAAAAAAACAACCCCAATCCTAACACCTCAGAACATGGTACCGAAAGGTGGCACCTGCCAGAGGCGATAGTCTACCTAACCTGTTTGGGCCACGAGAGACTGCAATCTGCAAGAAATATCCACAGTGTGCCAGATCTGTGTCCCCCTCTCCCAGCCCCCAACCCCCACTGCCCTGCCCAGGGCGGGGGTGAGGGAGATCCTCCTTTCAGACTCACAACCCTGTAGGTTTAAACACTTTCCCCCCTCTAAGGGGAGAGGAAGAGGCTGTAGGCAGGAAGGGGGAGAAGGCATTTTATAAAAGGACATCACTTCTAATTCTTTTTATTCAAATTAAAAAAAAAAAAAGCACCCACATCAGTTGCTATTTTTCTCTGGTAGCTCCCTGAGCTGAGTTGCTATGCTGTCTTCTAACTTTTTGTCCTTTTTAGGCTGTGTCCCAAGATTCAGAAGAGCTGGAGAGGGAGTTCCTTTGAACTTCCATTGCTCATAACAATAACTAAGTGTGCACCAAAGAGAAAGACCAGGCTGAGGAGGAGAGAGGGAAAGACCAAGAAAGAGAGACACAGAGAGGGCAAGAGGCAGCCAGAGTGCAAGAGACCACAGAAAGCTCTGTTTCTGCAGGCGTCTGCCCGAACAGGCCCCCATCTCAGTGCCTTCCATCCCTCAGTCTGGCCGGCTGGTGCTCAGTCCAGATGCCCAGACCCGTGTGGACGGACAGGCATTCCAGCAGGTACCTTGCGGCCAACCTGGTTGCCTTTTCCACAATCTAAGACTTTTCTCCTCATTCTTCAATTGGTTCCTCTCCCTGTCTCCTCTTCCCAGGTGAGAACATCTGTTTATTTAAAAAAAAAAAAAAAAAAAGCCACCACCACGAGTGGATTACAAATACAGCAGGCGAAACACACGGTCAGAGTTTCCGGTGGGAAGGGGCCTCTCCCACTGGTCAGTCCGCAATAGGAGTCTGTTATTTACATTTTTCACAAAACTTGTGCACTGCACAATCGGCAAAAAGAGACCCCCTCCCCCAGCACAACAATGTGGTCCACTCCAGCATCCCCGACCCAAGGTGGGGCACAGGGCAAAAGAAAGGGGAAGAACAAAGAGACTCATGAGCGGGTCTGTGGGGAACCGGAGCCATAAGCCTCCAATAAATCTATTTGTAGCAACTGCCAGCATTGTTCAGGGGGAGGAGGAGGAGCAGAACCCATCCGAGTCTGTGAGACACATCAATCTAGGCCCAGAAGTCCAGATCGTGATGGGGCACGCGCCCTCTCAGCCGGCCGGAGCGCAGCCCCGAACGCGCGGCTGCCTGCGGCCCATCCTCCGCCATCCTCAGGGCCCCTCGCCTGGGGGTCTCCCTGTCAGAGCCGAGTCGGTTTCTCCCAGAGTTTGACAGCCCTGCTGGAGTTCTTGTTTAGTAGATGACCTCATAAACTGTGGCCTTCTTGTCACCAGAGCCTGTTACAATGTATTTGTCATCCGCCGAAATGTCACAACTCAAGACAGACGAGGATTCTTTAGACTGGAGGAGGAAGACGAGGAGAAGCAGCAGGAAGGCGTGGGGTGCGGGGAGAAAAAAGACAGGAATTCATTTTCCAGTGCTCAACACCATCTCGGTTCTCTTGGAAACAATCGCCCTCCTCTGCCCCTCTCTGATGCTCCAACCTGGAGCACAGTGCAGTGAAGAGGAGGTGGGGAGGCTTTAAACCACCCATGAAGCATTTTCAGGTAGAGCTCCCCTCCCACCTGCTTTTCCACAATGAAAAGCTCAGCAACAGTCTCCCATGTGATCTTTACAGTAAGTCATAATGATCACAACAGGACGCTTTAGCACGAGCTTCTCTGAGTTTACAAATAGGAAGAAGCATTTCCGAGCTAGGAGCTGGCGTCAGCAGCTCAGGCCCACAGCCTGATGAGTTAGGAAAAGGATTGGCACCTGATGTTTGAAGCATGTGCTGTAACTAAAGACCCTAACAATGAGGTCTGACATGCTAGACACCAGACATTTCAGTCTGGGTCCAGAAAGTGGCATGTTGGCTGAGGGAGTGAGAGAGAACGCAAGAGTGTGTGTGTGTGTGTGTGTGTGTGTGTGTGTGTGTGTGTGTGTGTGTGTGTGCGAGAGAGAGAGAGAGGGGGGGAAGAAAGTGTGTGTGGGAGACTGAGTGTGCATGAGTAAATGAGTGTGAGTTTGATCATGTGTGGGAAAGAGTGCACGTGTGTGTGTGCATACGTGTGTGTGCCAAAGTGCAGTATGGCAGGCCCCAGATCCTGGTAGATTACAAAAAGCCTCTTCCTTTCCTCCTCTCTTTCCTGTCCATGTCCCTGCTGGTGCTGAATGGAGGTGGAAACACTCACTCACTCGAGGAGGGAAGCTGCCCAGCGCACCTCCTGCAGGTGCTCAGCATCCAGCCCAGAGCAGAAACATTTATGCTACTCCTCGCTCTCCAAATCCGCCAAGCAAATCCGACAAGCGCCCCTGCTTAAAAGCCCTTGCCCTCGGGGGTCAGAAGCCATTAGTAGCAGATTGTATGTCTTGCTGGAGTCCCCAGGTCCCTGGGAGAACCCATCTTGCTCCCCCCATCAGGTAGGGGTGGGGAGGGGACCAGGGCAGGTCTGATCCTGGCTCCAGGCTCCTCCTGTTCTTCCTCCTGCTATCCTCACTCCCATCACCACCGCCAAGTTTCAACTCTGGGTGGAACCCAGAGGAGGGCTCAGATGGTGGGCTGTACCTGGAATATGCTGGCTCCATAAGGCGTCCTCCAGGCGTTGAGAAGGTTATCCTTCCCAGTGCTCACGAACCACTTGCCTGCAGGTGGGATGCAAAGGCATGATCAGGTTGTAGCTCACTGCCCTCTAGAGCAAGACCAGCCCCAGACATGACCAGCTGCCATAGAAAAGCAGTGAGAACTGCTAACTAGTATGACTCTTCAATTTCGAGAGGCATTTTGCAAATGACACGTGGATACCTGGAGAAGGCCTTTCTTTGAAATCCAGGGGGAGGGCTGGGCGGGGCTAGGGTGGGAAAAGGTAGGATTTGAAGTTAATTGCAGTGATAACACTGCCCCGAGAGACTCTTGTTAAAGCCACTAAGGTTGACTGGCCTTTCTAAATTCTACTACTGGAAGGTGGCGGGAAACACCGAAAATATCCAAGCCCTGGGAGTCTGGAGACCTGGCTGAAGACAGCAGTCAGTGGGCGCCCTTCCTCCAAGCAGGCACTCGGCCAGGGCTCTACATGTGTTAAAGCTCTGTTGCTCCCTGAAAGCCATGAACACCATGCTATTCCCGACCACAGAGGAAAATCCACTAGAGTACAGAGAGGGTGAGATGTCCAAGACTGCACAGCTTGTCAGTGGAGGAGCAGACATTCCCATCCAAGGCTATCAGATGTCAAAGCCAGTGGTTGTAACCACCAAGAGGAACTACCTGCACTGCTACTGTCCTGTTCCTTTGCCCCAAGCCTGCAAGAACTGGCTCTGGCCTAGTGTCCTGAGAGTTCAATAACTCATGGTGACATCTGCATCCAAGAAACAAGGATGGGGAACAAGATCACTAAAGGGTGCTGAAGGGGCACCAGCCCAGGGGTTAGGAGGCCTGGTTCCGGGGCCTGGCTCATTCTGTAAGCTTTAGGCCCCTCGTCTGTCCTGTTGGGTCAGGCTGCCCTGGGCTCCCCACCCTACTCCATCAGGCCTGGGCCCATCCCAGGCTCACCGCAGTAGGCGAACTTGAGGGAGAGCACGCAGCTCTCGTGCAGGTGCAGCTGGTACTTGTCAGGCTTGGTGTGGTGCAGCACCTCCACGTTGCTGCTCTCCATGCCCACGGCCAGCCACTCCCCAGTGGGGCAGTAGCCCAGCGAGAAGATCTGCAGGCAGTGGGAGGGGAGACGGACTGAGCTCAGCATTCTTTGCCCTCAAGAGGAGGGCGGCTCCCACAGGTGCTGCTCAGGTCCTCTGAGGCTCAGGGTCCCTCCCTACCCACCCAATAACCCAGGAGTATGGGAGGTCATTTTCCATCCCATTTTATAGGTGAGAAAGCACAGACATTTTGCATTCAAAGTTACTGTCTCTGTGACTTTCGTCTTTCCTTAAGAAAAAATTGAGTTAAAAAAAAGGCCTACTAAAATATTAAACATTTAAGATTAAAATATTAAAGTGGGGAATGCAAATAAGAAATAATAATCCCTGGCATTTACTGAATGCTTTCTGTGAGTCGGGTTTATGGCTACGGTGCCGAGGACAAAGTGCTCAACAGCAGCGGAGAAAGAAATCGAATTCCTACAGTTGGGCCAAAAGTGTCCAACCCCAAGATCATCTCTGTCTGTTTCATTGCTGCTTCCTCCCAGAAGCCTTCCCAGATGGCTCAGGTTGGTCCCGAGTCTCTTGGCAATGGCCACTCTGTGAGGATCCCTTTGTCCCTGACCCAGCCACTGGGGCCCTGGAGGGAGGGCACACACTGCTCTTTGGGAAGGGAGGAGTCTTGGGCCGCACACCTGGGAAGTGAAGTCATGCTGCTGTAGCTGCCGGCCCTCCCGCAGGTCCCAGGAGCGCACCGTGTTGTCCAGGCCCCCTGTCCACAGTTTGGTGCCATCGTGGGAGATGTCTATGCAGCTGGCCCCATCCGTGTGGCCCTGGAACTGCCTATGAAAGTCAAGCAGGGAGGAGGATGAGCCCCGGGAACCACAGACTGCCAGGTGGCAGCCATCCCAGGGGCAGTCTGAGCAGAAGAGGAAACTGAGGCCCAGAAGAGTGCACTATGCACATGGTCCCTTAGTGAGCTTGCAGCAAAGCTAGCTCTGGCCTCTTTTCAGTTCCACAGAAGGGTTTGCCCCGGGACAAGTCCCGTGGGAAATGGGGGGTGAAAAGGGGACCTCACACCAGGCTTCTGAGACTGAATCCCTCCAGGGTGGGCCTCTGGAGAAGGTGGAGCTGGAGGCTCAGGAAGGCCCTGGGGAAGCCATGTGTGAGATGACTGATAAAGAGAATGCAGGGCCTCACTGCCTTTAGGACACAGCTCCTTAGCCCGCACTCCATGCGCCCTCAATTTACCCTCTTAATCTATCTCTTCACCCTGCATGAACTATGGGGCTGAGGCCATCCACGAACACGTTGAATAACACACACAGCCCATGTATAAGAGTCAACTGGGCCAGGCACCCCGTCTGCTTTTGCACTGTAGCACTGTCAGAGGCAGATGCTCCATTGTCACTGTTTTACACAGGAAGAAACTGAGCCGCAGGGGTTCAGCAACTTGCACTAGGTCATAGTGGAGGCGGGATTCAAACCCAGCAGTTTTGTCCTGAGGCTTGTCTAGACACCACATGATGTGGCTTCCCAGTCAGGTCTCCCCAATCTGGTCTCTGGGCCTCTGCTCCCAGCCTCTCTGCTTGCTCCACTAATCTGACCTCCACTTTCCCAGACATGCTCTAGCTCCACTTTCTTCCCAGAGCCCTCTCCAAGCTCCTGGGCCCAACGGCCCTCCCTCCTCTGTCCCTCGCATAAGGCAGGCAGAGCTGTCTTTTCACCTGTGCATCCCTCATCCCAACGATTATGGCCACCCCATGGCACCTCAGACAAGGCCAAGGTCACAGCAAACAAGACCAGGCAGGGTGGGTAAAAACTTCCCCAGGACGAGGCACTAATGCTCCCTCCTGACGGCTCACCTGACCAGGGTCTGGTTGTGCAGGTCCCAGACAGCTATGTTCCCGTCGCTGCAGCAGGAGAAGCAGACTTTGGCATCAGGGCTGATGGCCAGAGCATAACAGGCGGGAGCCGAGGACGTCAGCTCGGCCTTGATGCGGGGCGTGGGCGAGGCCAGGTCCCAGATGGTGAGCGTGCTGGCCTCGCCGCCCACGATGAGCGTGCGCCCGTCAGGAAGCAGCTTGCAGGAGCGGATGTAATTGTCCCTGTTCTGGAGGGAGAAGGGGCAGGGCTGAGTGCTGCCTACTTCCCCTCGTGGGCACCAGGAGAGTCCTGTCCAGCAATACTGAGCACCCTCACCAGCCCTGCTTACAGCCTCCCCTATACCCAGCAGCTGCCTGGCTGTCCCCATTCCTCAAATTCACAAGCCTTTGATCTTTCATGAATACCAGGAGGTCAGTATCAGCCCCACACACAGAAGGCACAACTGGGGCTCAGAGAGGTTAGTCAGCTTGCCTAAAGTTGCTCAGCCAATACGATGCTGAGCCGGGCCCTGGGGCTCTCCCCCGTGGCCCAGGCTACCCCATCCTCCTACACCAGCTGGAGGAGGTGCGGCGGCCCTGGGATTCTCACCAGGCAGTCCAGCTGGGAGATGGGGCTCTTGCTGCCTGGCTGGCTGATGTCCCAGATCTTCACGCAGCCCTTGCCACCTGTGTAGACGTGCCTCGTGGGGTTGCTGATGGTCACGGCACACACCACCTCCCCGTGGCTGAGTGTGTTAATCTGCCGGGCGTGCCTCGGGATGCCGGGGCCTGCCAGGGCGTCGTGGGGGAAGGGCACGGGCTGCATCTGCCCATCAGCGCTCACATGGAATGAGTACGCTCTGAAAAGGTGAGAACCGTCACTGCTGCCATCCACCCCGGCCCCTCAGAGTTCCCACAGGCCTGGTCCAGGTCACCTGCACCGCCCCCGACTGGCTGCCCTGCCTCCAGGCCCCTCTGCTCTGAAACCTTTCGAACCCAGTAACCCCATGTACTGGGAGGGCTCCACCAGGGTGGAGAGTGCTTAACAGACCAGCTTTGATTTTTACACCCGGTTATATATCCTTGCTCCAAATCAGACCAGAAACCCACAGATGTCCTGGAATGCCCTTTCCCACGATCCATACATTCCCCCAACAAGCCAGCCCTGGAAAGGGCATGGCTGAAATGCCACCTCTTGCTTTAGGAGCCGGCGGTATTAGGGAAGGGATCTGCTTGCCCCTCAATAGCAAATGGGAAAGTCCGTGTCAGAGTCGGTGGGGGCCAGCCTGGCCTGCCTGCTGTTTCCGGCTCTGGTGGGCGCCCTCTCAATCAGCATCTAGATTCTCGGGACAATTAGAGGACTGTGTCAGGCAGTGTCTCCGCATTATCTATAGGCTCAATCTTTTAGTTTCCTAGCAACCCGAGGAAGTGAAGGGCTGGGGAGAGTGTGCCCTCCAGGGGAGGAAAGCACTGCTGACAGGGAAGGGCCTGCGACCAGCGGCACTGGGGCCTTCCCAGCAGGTAGAGCCCAAAGGAGTAGGCAAGGCCCACCACAGCTCCAGGTGACTCGGTGAGGAGTGTTCCTTGTCTCCCAGCCCAGTGGCCATGTACTTAGCTAACCCCATGGCTCCTCTGTTGGAGGGAGCTTCTGTGGGTGCTGAGAAGCATGGCTTGGCTATAGTTTTCTGGGGTTGCAACCAGGCCTCGGTGCCTCCAGAGGGACAGATACCTTTCCAAAGGGACATGCACCAGGGCAAATTCTTCGTCAGGGGATGGCGTGTGTTGTTGGAAGGGGGGGTAGAGTGCTCTCTCCTCCCCACCCTACAAAGCATGCAGTAAGTATAGCCAAAGCTTACGGTTTTCCTCCAGGAATGGAGGCCAGGCTTGAGGGGAGGCCTGTGGCCCGCATTGGGGGGTGAGGGTCAAAACCAACCTGTAAAGCAAGGCAAGACAGCCCTCCATCAGCCGTGTTGCCATACACCCCCACCCCTGCCTCCTCCACCACCCACCCGGGGTCCTACCTGCATGGCTCTGCCACTTTATAACCCAAGAGACAAGCTGAGCAGAGCAGAGCCCATTGATTCAGAGGAGACACAGGCCCAGGAAGGCCCGTGGCAGGGAGGGGGTGACAGTGTGTAGACCCCACTCTGAACCAGCATCCTCCCTGTTCTGCCAGGCAGAGCTGGCCCTGCCCTACTTCTTTCCTCTCCTGTGGTCCTAGTGGGCCTGCCAGTGGAGAGAAGGCCACCCAAGGTCCAGGAGGTAAAAAGGAAAACTATCTCCTGAAAAAGGGCCCCTCTCTCCGCCAACCCTAACTCTTCTTTTTCTTTTTAGTTTTTGAGATGGAGTCTTGCTCTGTCGCCCAAGCTGGAGTACAGTGGCGCAATCTTGGCTCACTGCAACCTCCGCCTCCCAGGTTCAAGGGATTCTTCTGCCTCTACCTCCCGAATAGCGCCTGCCACCACACCCAGCTAATTTTTGTATTTTTAGTAGAGACAGGCTTTCACCATGTTGGCTGGCCAGGCTGGTCTCGATCTCCTGACCTCAGGTGATCCACCCGCCTTGGCCTCCCAAAGTACTGGGATTACTGAGCCACCATGCCAGGCCCCTAACTCTTATTATTCATTCACCACAATAGAAAGTCTTGTAACGACCAGTCCCATCTACGAGACCCCTGCTCCATGAACATCACCTGACTCGCCTGGGATTCCCACCCCCCAGAGCTGGGAAAGGCAGGCTCAGCCCCGTTTCGCAGACTGAAAGGGAGGCTGCCTTGCGTGAGGTCACAGGGCAGTTCGTAGGCCAGTGGGGGATGGAACCCAGGTCTGCTGGCCCCAAAACGTGTGCCCTTCCAGCTAAGTCTCAATTGTTTTCGATACACGTTCTCCCCACAGGGTCAGCTGCCTGGCCTCGAGACCCTGAGGGGCCCCCAGGCCCCCTTTGGCATGTGGAGAGCACCCCTCCAACCCCCACCAGCTCCCCACACCGCGCCCAGTCCCCAAGAAAGGAGCCAAAAGGTCTACGTACAGCTCCAAAGCTCACCATTGGCGATCGGCCGTAGGCAGCGGCTGCAGCGGCGGCGGCGGCACTCATCTGGGGTGGGATGTTGTGCAGGCTGGCGTAGGCGCCAGGACTGGTGAGTGAGCCGTTCATCTCGTGGTGGCTCATCATGGCGAAGGGCGCTGCATAGGAGCTGGTGATGGAGATGGGCGTGCGCAGAGCCGAGGCTGCGAGGGGGTGAGCATCAGGGAGGTGGGCCTTAGGGGGATTGGGACATGGCCACGGCCGCCTCACCCAGCGATAACCCTCCCTGCATTCTCAAGCTGCCTGCTCCAGGCAGTCCCCTCAGACTGAACCCACCCAACTGGGATCCCTGCCTTCAGAGCCAAAGAAACTTAGAGCTTGGCAGATGCACCCACCTGTTTTTACAGAGCAGGATATGGAGGCCCAAACGGGTTTGCATAGAGCCTCACTGGACTAATGACAGGGGTGGGAACAGATCTTGGGAGCCCTGACCTGTCTGATGCTGTTTTCATATGTCTGGCCCAGCAGGGGCCCCAGAAGCCTTGGTGTCACCTCCTCCTCAAATCTGACCGTGAAGTCCCCAAGGGCAGGCCCTGGGAGACACTGCCTGTGCTCTATCCCATGGGTGTGTGTGACCCCTGCCCTGGCCAGGGGCAGACCCCCTCCCCCCAATCAGATCAACCCAGCCCATGGTGCCTACCCATTATACCTATCGGGTCCATGCCCGGAGGTTTACCCGGCATCGACCTGAGCCCTGGGGTCGTGCTGGTGCCTGGAGTTGGGGCGTCGTTCCTTGGGGTTGGTGTGTTGGACTTGAGCCCAGGGGTAGAGGATTTGTCGTTCTGAAGAGGGGAGATGCACAACAAGGGAGGCCATGAGGCTTCCATTCTCCTAGGAGCTGGGCACAACTGGTGCCAGTCCCAACATGAAGCCCAGAGCCAGCCCCGTAGGAAGCTTCTGCCGAACAGCCTCTCAATCCTTACCCAACCTTGTTTGGCAGGGACTGGGGTGATCACTCCCATTTTACAGATGTAGCAACCAAGGCTCAGAAAATGTTAACTCATTAGCACAGGCCCAGCAGGCACAGGAGGTAAACCTGGGCCAATCACCCATCCAGCTTCTTCCACTCCACCCCTCTGCCCGCCAATTGGCACCATCCCAGCTCTGGTCCCTGCTGCTCCCTTTCCACTCCCTTCCACCCAGACCCCACATACATGACCAAGGTCTTTGGTCTTGGAGGAAGGTGTGCTACTGGAAGAGGCCACCGAGGCGGGGCTGGTGGGGGCATCCTTTTTCAGGCTACGGGCCTTATCCAGCCCATTTTCAGGAGGGGAGTGTGCCGGGCTGACCCGGGGCGTTGCGGGGTCCTGAAAACACAAGCGATGCAGAGATGCACTGAAAGCAACAGCCAGCCTTGAGGCTTCCCTGCTCTGGGAGTGAGAAGGGAAAGGGCATGGGTGTGGGAAGAAGAGCTTGGCTCAAAGACTGGGGGTCCCACAGTGAGGGGAAACTAACTCTTAACCATCTGGTCCGACTGAGGCCTGGGGAGTGTGGAAGGGTGATCTGCCCAATGTCAAACACAAGTTCAGGACTTCAATCAGCCTGCCTGGGTTTGGCCGAGTGTGGATGCTCTCCAGCTCCTCCTCCTCAGGCCCCTGAGGCTGAGCCCCTGGGGGGGATGGAGGATCACTCACGGGGAATAGAAGATGGCCCCTATCTGGGATCTTTGGGGGTGTCTCTCTGGAGACGCATTGCAGGAGGCCCTCCGGGCCCATAAATGCCTGGACACCATGCAGCAAAGCCCTGCCCTGCTCCTCTTGGCCCCCTGAGACCTCAAGACTGGAGGCCTTGTCTCCCTGCTCAGGCTGCCAGCAATATTAGAACAGACAGAACAGATCCCACCCTGGGGAGGAACAATCCCAAACCATCCCCAACCAAGAGCCCCCTTCAACCGGGCCTGCCCATACCTCATTGGAAACATCCACCACCAGATCATCACTCTTGTCCCCATCACTGTCCTGCAACCAAGAGAGAAGCCAAATGGTAAGAGGCCACACTTTCCCCACCCCTGACCGGGCCCAAACTACCCTATCCTTCTACTGGCCAGGACCTGACACCAGGCCAAACTCCAAAGTCCATGCTTTCTACTCCAGCCCTGCCCTTCCACAGGCTCCACTCCAGCTCAACACGGTCCCCCTGTGAGGCTGTCCCCTACCCCAGCCCCTAGGTTACTCCACTCCTGTGCCCACTGGGCAGCCACACTGACACCCACCCCATCATAACAGTTCTAAGCCCCTGCCCCCACAGCCTGCCCTTCTGCTTCTCTCTGAAGCCAGAACCTTCTTCCCAGCTGGTTTTACATTCACCATCCTTCACAGTCAGTGTGCTGCTCTCATCTGGTCATTCCCCCCGCTCCGTGTGGGATAGTGACTTGCCTTCTCTCCCAGAAACACAGCTGAGTGCCCTTTGGGTGTGCAATGTGCCCGAAGCCACACAGCAGCCATGTAGCTGAAGAGGGCTGGGTGCAAGACTGCAGAGGCCCTGATCATATCCTTCCCTTCCCTCTGTTCCAGCTCTCAGCCCTGCACAGCCTGGCACAGGGGAAACACAACAGCCATGCTTCCACTAGGGTCTCATGTGCCGGGGGCCTCCCATTAAAAGGCTAATGAAAGACATGACTGGGTGGCCAAGTGAGTGCGTGCCTGGGGCTGACTGAGAGGACTGTAGGGTCCACATTTTGTGGGGCATCGGGAGCAGCTCCTTAGAGCCAAGTGGGATTCTGGCAGCACCGTGACAGCAGCATGGGGTTGTTGGCCCATCTGTGGGAAGAGACCCCATGAAGGCCAGGACGACCTCCCCGTCTACCTTTGCCCTGGAGTGGCTCACACACTCACAGTGTGTGAACTTCACCCTAGCCCCGTCCCCACCCTGCCCTCCTCAACGAGGCCGCCTATTGCCACCTGTGCTGCTCTGACTCCCTGCCAGCCATAAGAGGACCCTGGCCATAGCTTGGGCCCTGCAGACACCCCCTCCCCTACCCAACAGAAACCCCAGTGGCGCCACGGCCCCTCGGACGTACATATCGGCTCAGGCTGTCCTTCTCCTCCGCCTTCCGCTTCTTGGCTTCCATGCTGTAGTCCGCAGAGCCCCGGTGCTTTTCACTGGCCCGGAGGCTTTCCGAGGGTGACACAGAGTTATTCTGGAAGGAAGAAGAGGGTTTGGGGTTAAAACTTTCTGCTGTGTGTAACAACTCACACATCCACACACTGCTAAGTGCAGGTGACAGAGAGGTCAGAGGAGGGAAGAGAAGCTGAACTCCTCTCTGCCCTGCAGATCGTGGCTCCATCAGAGCCTTGCCAGGGAAGCCTTCCCCACTCCCCAGACTGAGTTCCCGGGGAGATGCCCTGGGAGCACCCCCAATTCTCTTTTGCAGCTCTGAACTGCTATTAAATAATTAACCCCGCAGTGAGCCGTCTGCCTTCTGGCCTGTGAGACTACGCTCCGTGAGGGCGAGGGTCACCTGGGTCTCGTTCACCACCCATCTCGAGCCTGCCGCACTCATTTGCTCAAAGGACGGGTAAGTGGAATTTGCACTGAGTCTTGTAAGACGGATCCGAGCTGACAGGCGGGGGCCATGAGCAATACTTCATTTGCTGAGCCCAATAGGAATGGGGAGATTGACAGGGAAGGAGGGTGTCAGGCAGCCACCAACTTCCCAGTGGAGATGAGCAGCCGAGCATTCGGTGTGAACACCCCCGCCTCCATGGCAAGGCTGTCAGCACTCTGGAGAAACACCAGGGTTGTGAAAAAACAAAAATGCCACGTCATGAAGCCTTCCCCTCTGACAGAGACAGGAAAAGGCGCAAGGGCAGGGACAGTCACCGCCTCTGTAGCCATTACCAAGTGGAGACCCTGAGAGGTTGGCGAATATGCCCAAGCTCTCCTAGCAGAAGGTGGCACAAAGGGAACCCCAAATTTTCGTGAGTTCTCCCTCAACTATAAAGCAAATGAGGATGAGAAGCCTTTGGGATGGGAGGCCTGGGAAGAGGGAAGATGATGGAGCAGTCCTGGGGGTTGATAGTGGGCAGAAATCACCATGTGGCTGTTACCACCGAGCTGGGGAGCAGGGAGGGAAGTGCTACTGGCAAGGGCACCTGCCAGCAAACCTCTGTATCCAGAGAATAACATCAGGACCAACGCCCCTCTACAATATTGGTGAAGTTTACTCCTTCCTAAGAGCCCAAACTTTACCTTCACCCACCCACCAATTTCCAAGCAGCTGCCCTGGGTCAGGTCTGGTGCTGCAGGCCAGGAGTGGCAGAATGAACGAGACACAATCCTGGCCCTCCAAAGCAGCTATGGTCCAGCTATGATGGAGCTGGAAGAAAAGGACAGGCCATCCCCAGTCCCAGTCCCCATGCAACACAGGAGGTCACATGGAGACACAGAGGGACATCTGTTCAGAAGAGAAGAGCATCAGAGGGCAAGTGGAATGAGGCTTCACTTCTCCACTTTCTCAGAGGCCAAGGGTGGCTCAGGGGTAAGGGCCACTTGGAGGGAACAGAGCTGGGCAGTATTCGGTGGGAATAGTGCGGCAACCAACCTCAGAACTTAATTTCCTTTCCTAAGCCGGTTTCTGGGCAGCCCTTCCCTGCCAAGTTTCTGCCTGAAGCAAATTAAAATGGCAGAGTTATCAAGCCTTGAAGAAAAAATGGAGGTTATAATGGAACTGCAGCTCAACCTTCCCCACAGCCGTGCAGGAGCGGCGGCGATGCGCGCACAGCCGCAATTCAATTAGCTGCTGCAATCGCCGGCAGAAAAATCACCGTCATTTCATTTCATTTCCTCTGACGGTGGCGGCCACCCTGTGCTAAGCAGAAATGCTTCCAGCCCCTCGCACTGGCTGCCCCTTGCAGGCGGGCGGGCAGGGGAGGGGGCGTGCGGCTGCTCGTGTTTCTCCTTGCGACCCGGTGCTCGGCTCGGGAGAACAGCGAGCTCTTTCTTCTCATGCAGTCAGGCTGAAAACCCTCGCCGCTACCGGAGAGTCATGTCAGGCATTTAGCGGCATCGATCCAGCCCGCCTCTGGCTGGCAGGCGGCCAAAAAACTAAGTATTTTTTATTGCTTCGGCTAGGCAAGGAAATATGAATGAAGCTACCTCTAATTGGACTCCAGACTAACCCCTCTGGGACAGCTTCCAGCCCGTCCCCCATCCCCCCTCCCACTCTGACACAGCCTTGTCCTTCCTGCCGTAGGCCTCATCTGTTGACAACCTGGTTTCCAAAGCCTGATTATTTCAGTCTACACCGCCCCTGACACCGTCACCACTCCACATGCCATGCGCACAGCCTCAGCCCTGAGCTACCCACTGCTGCCTCTGCCCAGCATCTTGATTCATTCCCATTGGAGTTTCCTGTGGCCCATGTGTGCCATGCCTGAACCTCAGTGAGCATGGTAAAGAGCCCAGCTCTTGGGGGTTCCCAGAGAGGGTCTTTTAGCAGAAAACTTTCACAGATGGGGCACAAAGCCACAAGCCAATAGGGATGAGGATGAGGTAAAGACTCATGCTCTTTAGAGAGTGCTGGCCTTCCCACTCCCCCACCAGTTCCACTGCAGTGGGTCCCTGATAGCCAGGTAATCTGGATCCTCAGTCAAGTTACCATGGGTCTTCCTAAACAAAGCTGAGAGGTTGGCCAAGCAGGAATTATTCCCATGGTATAGATAAGGAAACTGAGGCTCTGAGAGGCCAAGGGAACTATGCAGGGTCTCATAAAGCTGGGACCAGACCTCAGTCTTAAAATGTCCAATCCAGTCCTCCTTCTATCTAGGCAAACTGCCTCTCCAAAAATGCCACTGTTGGAGGATCAGTACGGAGGCAGTGAACATGGATTTTCAGCTTCAATGACTCCTCTTTTAGGTACCTAGCCATTCCTCAGCCCAAATATGGTCCTGGATTCCTGAGCATGTAGGCAGGGCAAGAGGCGATGCCAGCCTCACTGCCAATGGGAGGTTTAAAAAGTCAGCCTGGGTTGGGGGAGGGCCAGGAAGGGAAGGAGGGTTGGACTGGAGAGAGTTGCCCAAGGAAGCTGCTGTCTAGATGGTTAGTTAACTGCCTGACCTTCCAAGTCCTACTTAACACGAGGTAATAACCAAAGCCATCCTAACAGATTAGATGGCCCCAGATACAAGGACGGCGATGAGGAATAAAATAGCTTTGCTAATCGCTGGAGGATTTTTTTTATCCAGACTCCACTGCGCTTATTCAGAAGGCTTATTCACTTGAAACAGAACCTCGGAGCCTCAGTGTGATCAGAAAGATTTACAACAAATCTCAGAGCTGGCAGACACGCAGGCGGCCTGGCCTTAATGCTCGCCTGCTAGCACTTTCTTAAATCGAGTGAAAGCCCAGAGCAGGGAGAAACTGCAGGCGTTTGAAGGGAATGAGGTGGATGCAAGATGATACAGAGGCATCCTAGCTGGGGGGTGGGTAAGAACCTTGGCCCTCAACATGGGACACCTCGGTCCTTAGACCTGGGTTTAGCCCAGAGACTCTACAAAGCCCCTTGCAATGGAAGACCCAGGGCTAGTCAGCTGACCTCTCAGAGTATCACCTCTCATATAAAAGGGAGTTAGAGCTCATTTAGCCCAAGCTCTTCATTTGACAAATGGCAGACCTAAAGCCTGGGGAGATGAAGGGCTTCCACAACTGAAGGTCACTCTCAACAGGTGACGACAGCAGCTCCCATTTTATTACAGTAACTACCCCTCACCCTGCCACTACCACCACTGGCTCTGGACTAAGACATCAGCACTGAAGCCGGGTCTCCTAGCTCGGCAAGAGTAAACAAACAACAAAACCCCCCGTTTCAACCCACAGAGCAGAACCGGGAACCCGGAAGCCAGCTTTGGACACCAACTGACTGGTCTCAGGCCCACGATTCTGGGAGCCCCAAGTCCCACCTCCTCCCAGCACCCAAACACCCCTCCGGCTTCCACAGTGCCAACACTTACCGCACTGGATTCTCTCTCTTTGGGGAAGGAAGGCCAGGACAGGAGGAAGGTCAGGCACCCCGAGACAAAAACACAAAAAAGAAAGGAAAAAGGTCAGTCTAAGTCCAGCTGGCTTTTGTGATTTGCTAGTGCACTGGTTTTAAAATGGGCAGAAGGCCTGGATCGCTGTCTCCGTGGATCAGCCAAGGCAGGGCCATTAGGTGGCGTTTCTCAGTTTGGAAATTCGCCACCCAAATTCCAGTGCTGCCCCCACCCCTCCAGTCCCCAGGGTGGGAAAGGGAGGCCTTTGACCCAGTTCTCCCTGTCATGCCAAAGGGCACCAAGTTTACTCTTTAGCAGACTAGGGGTCTTAAGACCACAAGCTTGGGAAGGATCATGCCATACAAAATACCAGCAGGACCTGGGAGTTAAGAACTTTATTGTAAAAATAAAAAGGAATTTAGAAGTGGTTTCTTTAATTTTGTTTTTGAAATTAACACCATTCCCTGATTCTTTGTCAGGATGCCCCTAAAAGTTGAAGCCTCTGATAATTTTCCCAGCTAAGCACTAGCTCCCCAGTTCTCCTGTCTGCTGTGGAGAGGCCCCTCTTCCTCTGCCAAAAGGACCATCCCACTGTAAGACAAAAAAATGTAGCCTCAGTTCTCGGGACCGGCTACCACCCTGTGGCCTGGGCCAAGGCAGGATGGTGACATTCCAGGTCCCTAGTGCTCAGAAGGTGTTGGCTACGTGCCCTGGTAAATACCGTATCTAAGGGCAGAGTGCATTTGGCACCAGTTTTTGAAAAGAGCCTCCCAGGGAGCCAGGCGTTTCTCTTTTCTGATCCAATGAACCACTCTTGAGACCACGCTCGGTGCAGCTTCCTGGGTCCTCATGGTAAGGGCTCACAGCGGGTCAGGGAACAAGTTCTGACTCCAAGAATGTGATCTCTTGCTGGGGTGTGCACTACCCCCATGTACAGGCAGCCAGCTAACAAACCTTTACCTGAGCACTAACTGTGCACCTTTCCCAGGTTTCTGCATTGGTGAGATGTAGATGTAAGGAAAACACCCAAGAACTTAGCCCTGTGCTAGGGAACTAATGATCATGGTAAGCACAAGACATTTTCCAGGGGTAGAATGTAAGAGGACAGTAACAAGGACTTAGCCTTGGCTTCCCAACTCTTAAACTCTTATGAGAACTTGAAAAAGGCCCCTAGTCTGACCAGGAAGGCATCCTGAAGGGGTGGACTGGGGCTGGCCCCTGAAGGCCAGGCATAGGTGTCGTAGGAAGATGGGAGGGAGCTCCAGATGAACAGACAGGGTTTTTAGGACAGGGAGTTCCTACACCAAGGATTAGGAAAAGGTGCATGGGATGCGGATGGCGCTGGCTTCCATGCACCAAGTATTCAACAGATGGCTCCAAATCCTTGGTAACTCTTGGTCCTAGGGTGACAGCACTTGCTGGGTCCACTCACTGTGAGGCCTATGAATGCCCATGCCCAGCCTTGCCCCACCCCACCCTCTGCCCCAGCCCAGCCGCACCTCTGTGATCGAGTTCATGGTGGTTCTTCTCATCCTTCACCGTCAGATGGGCCTGGCTGCCCAGGGCGCCCAATGCCAGCAGCCCGGAGCTGCTCCCTGTCACTGGGGGTATTCCTGGAGGCTGGAGACCTGACGGGTGGGGTGGCAACTGGACCGGGGGGCCGTGTGTGGCATGGGAGAGGTGCTGCGCCTGGAGCTGCTGCTGCTGCAATGAAGTCGGTGGTGAGTACAGCTGAGCTGGGGAGGGCAGGGGAGGCGTGGCCACCTCAGGAGGGAGGGAGGGAGGGAGTGGCTCTTCCCATTCCTCTTGCTCCTTCATTGGGTGGGTGGTAGGGGGAAGCACCCCCAAAACCTTTGCCCCCAGCTCAGTCCACATGAATGTCTCGCTGAAGGAAGTCTGTTAATAGACTGCAATGTAAAGATTTAGGTCTTCAAGCACCCCCCAACCCGTTGTACCCCAGTTTCAGGAAGAATTTCTCAATGTTTGTTTCCAAGCCTGAGATAAATAATGCATGCATCAAAAAACCACAGAGTCACGGGGTTCCCTCTGAGTAGAGAGGGATCCATTTTTAAGCTCGCAGCCCTGGCAGTGTTTGCTCATGCATACATGCCTTCAGCATTAGCTGCCGGCAGCTCCCACCCTGAGGCTGGACTCTGGGGAAGTCTCCTTATTTCTTAGGAACTCCAAGCCTGCCTTACAGAGCAGGGGCAGGACAGGTCATCACAGCAAAGGCCCCAGAGCCAGATGAGCTGGAGGCCAGTGGAATGAGAGCTAACGTCACCGGACATCAGTGGAGAACGGGGTAACTGGAAGAGTGGAGGCTTTGGAACTAGACAGACCAGGACTGGAATCCCAGCTCTGGCACTTCCTAGCTGTGTGGCCTGGGGCAGGTTACCTCAAGTCTTGGACTTCAAATTTCCTCATCTGTAAAAGGGGAAAGCAGCCGACCCCAGAGGATTATTGTAAGATAATGTTTGCAGCAGCTCATGGCACACAGCTACTAAGCCTCATGGCAGCAGCTAATATTTACAAAGAGTTTAAAATGGATTCCTGAACCCTTCTAAAAACTTGCCATGCAGCAAGTCAGTATTACCAACAACAACAATGCAATTCTCTCTGTCTCCTCCCCAGTCAAGGAATCGGCTGCCCTGGCTCCAGAGGCCCAGCTTCCCTACTCAACACTAGCCTCAGGGGCTTCTCTTTCCTCTCCCTTCGCCACACCCAACTTCTTCTCCACTACTGCAAGGGAAGTTAGGTATGCTGGTATTCACCTATGCACACATCTTTCTTCTCAACTTGTGCAAGAGAAGAAAACTAACACTTACTGGATGCCTGAATGAATGCCTGGGCACCTTCCAACCACCTGGCAAGGGAGGGGTTGTGCCCATTTAATAGATGCTTAGGGGGCTGGAGTAGGTAGCTAGTAATTGGCCAAATCCCACCACTAGTAAATCTGTCAACCACCACCCCTCACCCTAAGAATGTTCGTTCCTAACAAGATCCCCAAAGCAAGAGGGGTTGGCGGAGAGTGCCATACAGAATAGATCTGAGAAGCTTCCAGATCTCACACCTTACTAAGGGAGCTCGCCTGTCCATATGAGATGGTTTTCTGGCAACTGTGAACAGATAACAGAACGCAGTGAAGGCCCACGGCTCCGGCAGGAGGAGGCAGTAAGTATTTCAGGTGATGGATAAAGGGCCCCACTCTCCCTCAGCTAAGCTGCAAACTGCCACCTGGCCTCATCCCAAAGTTAATGGCAGCCACAGTAGCCATGGCTCTCCTGGCCCCAGAGGGCTCCCTTTGTCAGTTCTGGGTGAAAGGCAGGCACTGCAGCCGTCGCTCAAAGCTGTCAGAGCACTTCTGTGATGTCTGCTGCTAGGCAGTTCACGTGCACTGTCCCAGGGTGGTCCGACCCCACATCTGCACTGAGACACTATGGCTGACACAAAGCTATGGGGCCGCTGGAGCCAGCATCACAGAGTCCAATGCGGAGATCCAACCCCTCCCAGCTAAGAAACTCCAGCTCCTCTAGGATGGGAGCTTGCTCTGAGCTCCTCCACTTTTTCTTTTTTAAGAAAATGTAATTTTTTATATCTCATTACAAAACTAATACATGCTCATTTTAAGAAAATACTAAAAATAAGTAGACGTTAAAAAGTTTTTTTAATTACCCTTCAATCCTACCCTTGGAAGATTCTACTATTAAATCTGCCTAGGTTTTTATTTATGAAAATCTACACATTTCAAATGTATTTATACAGAAATGAACTCTTGTGAACCATACCGCTATACAGCTTGATTTTAATTTAGGAATGTTTTGAAGAACTTTTCTTGACCTTTTTAATGGCTACCTAGTATTCCCTGGTGTGGTTGGACAATACAACTTTATCTGGATACCTGGTTTTAAAGTGAGTCTCCAGTAGGGCCCCTTTGTTTAGACCAATTGTTAGTAGGCCTGTTAATTCTGCTGGTGGTAACTACTTAGTAAAATCCCAGAAAGCAAGGGCTGAGGTATTTAAGCCGCATTTTATAGTGCAGAGCCAATAAGATCCCTCGAGGAAGAGACAAGGAAGAGGAGGGGAAGGAAGGCTTCAAAGAAGTAGCTTTGCTGCCTGTAGACACAGCTAACTCCTTTCACGAACAAGTCTGTTTCTAGAGAAAATGTGCATTGAACATTTGTACCCAAGGAAAGATGGAGTTGAATAGCTCCACGCACCCTGACTCTTATCTTACCAGGAAAGGTCTCTTCTCCTACCCAACCCTCTAGGCTCAGCTTTGCCCAGTTCAAAGGCTGTCTCCTCTGGATGCCCTCCCACCTCAGGTTAGAATGGATTTCTCTGTTCTACAAGCTCTAACGGCTCAGACAATGGAGCCAGGCAGAATAAGGCGGACTTCCAGCTCTATCCTTTATCAGCTATGAGTCCTTGGACAAGTCAGCCGACCTCTCTGTGTTGTGCAAGGATCACATGTGTAACTACAGGTAAAAACGGAGTAGGTGCTCAGTCTTAGCAAATGGACAGATCCCAGGTGAAAACTGTTTCTTTTGCCTTTGTGCACTGCTTGGCAACCTGTGAGTTCCAGAAACAGAAACTGTGTCTGCTCCATCCTAGCACCGCTAACAGTGCCTAGCATATTTGCTTAGTACATGCCTTCTAAGTAAATTAGTGAAAATTTTGGAAAAGGTGTATGAAGAGGCTGAGAAATGGTGTCCACAGGTGCCAACCGCCTCTCAGCTCCACGCCTTCCCTCCAAGGCCAGTTAGATGCAGCCAGAACAGTTAGTTGGGACAGGAAGCATCAATGGGGTCATGAGGTGTCCTGCTTGCCCAAAACATGAACCAGAGAACCAACGTCAGAAACTTGGAACAGAGGCAGCAGCGGCTGTTTGGCAGGCAGTGGCTTTCAAAGCTGTTAAGCTTCCGAGGCTGGGAGGCTGGTTTTCTGCCTTAGTGTTGTCAGGTAAGAGCGTCCTCTTTGCAAAAGAGAAAAGGAATCTCCCATGCAAACTGAAGCGTTCCTCATTTCCGAGTGCAAGAGCAACCTGCTGCAAAGAGCCAGAAACTCCCTCGAGGTCTCCTTGGGGTGGTTTGAAGGCACAGCGAGGACCGGCCCAGCAGACTCTGGGAAGCAGGGACAGGAGAGCCAAACTCCAAGGCTCCTTCCTCAGTGCGAGAGCAGATGCCAGGGCTCGTCAGATGGAGGGTCTGCTAACAACAATCTTGGGTACAACAGAAAGTGAAACGAAGATTTTTCCCTGACAGGTCTGGGGGCCAGCGGGCAACGCCCCACCTGACCCCCGTCCCTATCACAGCTCAGCATCTCCGCAGGCAGGCGGGCACAGCTGTCCTCAGGCTGTATTCCTATCCCCTGCAACACGTCTGTTGGCTTCAGAGCACAATGTGCTCAAACACAGTGATGTCTGAGTGGGAGGCTGATACTGTTTGCAACTGGGTAGCTTTCCCCATGGCAGAGAAATGGAATCAATTCCACCATCAGAGAATGCCTGTCTCCAGCTTATACCATTCCTTCCAATATGGGAACTTCTCCATCCACAATATGAAAGGAAGTCAATAATTCCTTCTTGCACCCCTAACCCCAAAGAGGGGCTAGGAGCCTGGAACCAAGCCCATGCATGGGCGTTCACTTTTCCCTCCTTGAACATTTCCTGCCAGAGCATAAACAGGACAACGAACACGTACTCCACAAAAGTGATAAGCGCCTGTGACCTGGCTCAGAAGGTGCGGTCACTTCCAGGAGAGGCTGAAGGGAAGATCTTGCTTGCAGAGTATGTGTAACTGGATTATGCACATCACGCCTTAGGCCTTCGCTAGGTAAACTAATGCTGCGTTTCTCAGGTTCACAATTTGGGTTGAACTTAGTTAGTGAAGCTGTCTAAGCATTTCCAGAGCCAAGACACACCAAGGGCTCCCACCAGAGGAGGCAAAGACGGAGTCCGGACTGCATAAAATGAACACTTCTGCTCTCCAAGGACAGCGAGAACAGCTCCAGGCCTCCAACTGCTCCTTCTCTTTCACATCACTCAGTGGGCACCATAGCTCCGTGTGCATTGAACTTCTGGGGTTGGTAATAGCTTTTAGTGCTCACAACAACCCTTGTGATCCCCACTTCAGAGATGGCGAACAGGCTCGGGAGGCTGAACAGCTTCATGAAGTCAGCAGCAACCAGAGCCCAGACTCAAATTCGGCGTTACCCCCCTCCACCACAGCTGCCTGGCTGAAAGACGGATCCTAAGGCACATTCTCTTGGCCATCCTTTCCCTCATACAAAATTCAGTCAATTGAATGCAGCTCATCCACATCTTGGAGTGAATGCAAGAACCTTAGGTACGGCTTCAAAATATCCTGTGTATTCTGTGACAAGCTACAACCTCCCTCTTCCTCCCCTCCCTCCCACTTTAAAAAAAAAAATCAAGTCAAAGCTCTGTGACATCTCCCCTACTATTAATTTCCAAGGGAATGAAGACCAAATTGTCAGTGGGTAAGCAGATGAGACCTCCTCCGCTTTCCAGTCCCAAGACCTTGGGCCATGATACAGCAATTTTAAAAAGAAGGTTCCAGAAATGGGTGATACATCAGCTCACAGGGTCTTAAATCTGCCTGGGAAAGACAGATGTTGCCTTCTGCAAGTTGCTGACCAAGGGTCAAATTTCCCTCCTCGTGCTCAGGAATCTTGTCCTTCTAAAGCCCCTCCTGTTAATTTTATCCAAGAAGCATGTAAAAGAAACAGGGCTACTGTAACCAAGTCTCGCCAGGCCCCAGCTAGAAGACAGACAGTCTTCTTCCTCTCTTCCCTCGGTGGACACCTGAGTTCCCTGTGGTCCAGCAGGGAGTGGGTAGGCTTGGCTCGAGAACCCAGTTCCCTGTATCTGTTTTTCTTTCCCCTTTTCACACACACCATCCTGACCTTGGATCCTGCCCTTTCTCACCAGGAAGGAAGACCCCAGGAATACGCTAATCCTCATGATAAATACGCCACTGGATACCTCCCAGCCCATGCCAGAGGCATCTGATATTCTCTTTGAGTTGAGCTGAGCCACGACCTCAGAATCTTTCAACTCCACGAGCAAGAAAGCCACTAAACAAGTAGGGCAGATGGAAAAACTGAGGCTTGGAGGAACAAAGCGACTTGCCCAAAGCCCTCCTCTAAGTCCAAGACCAGGGTCTCCTTCCGGAGCAGCAAATCCAACAGTGCAGTGGGGGTAGCCACTAGAAGCTGCCAAGAGCCTCCTGGGACCCTCTTTCTCCTGCCCTTTCCTGCTGGGGCCAGGATGCCTGCCCTTTTGCTCAGCCGGTGGCTCTGCATCCCCTGTTATCCTTCTTCACCTCGCTTCCCAGAGGCAGCTCAGCTGCAGGCTCGCTCTCTGCTCTCCTCGAGGAGGAGATAAAGAACGCCCTGACTAGATTAGCGGCCTCCTTCGCTGGAGTGCAGTCAAGCACGGCTCCCCAGCGCGAGCACGCCTCGGCTGTCCGTAATTCCTGCCTTGTGAGGCTCTGTCAGGCGCAGCGATTAGACGGCTGCCTGCTTAATGACAGGGCGATGGCTGCATTCACTCAGAGCTGGAGAAGCAATTACCTTGAAAATGGGGGTCACAGGCCCCACTCGTTGGCTTTAATTGAATTCCAATGTCTGCCTCGAGCTGCCTCGACCTAACTTGTAGCTTCCTAAATACTACTTAAAGGAAGTACAGCTAATCCAAGCAGTGCTTCTCTCCCAATTTTACTCCTTTCTTAAAACTTAAAAAAAAATTATTTTCGTAACAGGATTTTAATCCCAGCACTTTGGGAGGCCGAGAAGGGCAGATCATGAGGTCAGGAGATCGAGACCATCCTGGCTAACACAGTGAAACCCCGTCTCTACTAAGAAATACAAAAACCTAGCCGGGTGAGGTGGCGGGCGCCTGTGGTCCCAGCTACTTGGGAGGCTGAGGCAGGAGAATGGCGTAAACCCGGGAGGCGGAGCTTGCAGTGAGCTGAGATCCAGCCACTGCACTC